CGTATTACTCTTATCGGCAAGACATATCGGCATAATTTTTCATATCGGGCTGATGCCGATATGTACATTTAAAGCCATTATCAGCCGATTCCGATATCGGTCCGATAATATCGTGCATCCCTACTTTAATGTATTTGGTTAGTTTGTTATATAATCTATGCTCTTTCTCTTTTGCCACCAGAAATGGCAGGAGGCTTCAAACAGAGGGGCTGCCATACTCAGCTATTTAGGGGAGCAAGTCCCTCTAAACTTTACTGTTATTATAACTTATCTGTTATTATAAATGGCAGAAAATAGTAATAATAAAGAATGTGTAAGTGTGTCCAAATCTTGTTTTTATATATGCATTTATTTATTTATTTTTGCCTGGAAGTATATATCAACACAGCACCATTCACCATACTTCTATGAAGTTCTTATACTGAATTCTTATATGTATTTCCAGGGATTGTGCAATAGATCCCACCTGTGTGCTCTGCATAGAATGCTTCCAGAAGAGTGTGCACAAAAGTCATCGCTACAAGGTACATGCGCTCTTAATAATAATTTGTTTTCTTTCTAAATCATTTGTTTTTCCTTTCCCAAAATCTCAACCTTGTTCTACAAGTTTTTATTTGATTAATTTTTTTTGAAAATGTTACCACCATCGAAAGTATTATTATTTTTATTACTGTATATTATTTATTTATTCTTACAATTTGCATTGCTACCGCAGATGCATGCCTCTGCAGGAGGAGGTTTCTGCGACTGTGGAGATTTGGAGGCTTGGAAGAGCGGACCCTGCTGCTCCCAACACGACCCTGGCACTTCAGTTACTATGGAAACGGTACAGTTTATTTTCTCTTATCGATGCTAAGATTTTTTTTCCATGAACACTATTGTTGAACTAACTTCCTGCCTTGAGGTCAGAGGAGCCGTTCTGTCCGTGCGTTTGCTAAACGCAACCCTCCCTCTGTGGGAAAACACAAAGTGTGTGGGAAAGTGACACGCAGCAGGCCTGTGATGCAAAAACAGCTGGAAAAAAATGCATGGACTGCAGGAGTAGAAGAAAAAAAGTAAAGTATTTTAGTAAGAGGGTTTGTTGTACAAGGAAATGAATGTACGAAATAGTTAGAAAGAATGAAAGACTATCAGTTGTAAATTTTGGGTGTTGAAGGGCATATTAATTAATCTAAATCCCAGTATTCCATAAAGAGCGAGAATGTACTGATATCGGCAGATTTCTTGCTGTGTGCCTGGATTTTGGCCTGGAAAGCAGATGGTCTGCTTCAGTGTTCTGATAACTCAATAGATCCACCGTGATTAGATCAGGCTCCAGATCCGCACTCACTCATGGCCACTTACAGTGTCCTCACCTTTGTCGGAAAACAGCAGGTGCCTTTTTGTGTTTGACACCCTCTGGCGAGATCTAAACGTTCACATAATGAACATGACAGATGGACATTTCAACCAAATCAGCAAACATCATATCCTGCTCAAAGGGCCTGTCGTGTTTTGTTATCTTTTTGCTGCATGTTCAGTCAAATTAAGCTCTTTCGGTAGCTAGTCACTATTTTTGGTGTGACTGGCTTTTAGGAGATGTTACAGATTGTGATCTTCTGGTGGAGTTGAGGAAATTGAGGATATTTAGTTATGCAGTAGACCTTTGGGAGCTTGCATTCTGCCAAATAACAAACAAATGTACGTGTGAGAATAAACAGCAGTGAGTTCTTGTGAGGTTGTGTTTTTGTGCTCATCTCTATGCAAGCCTACTCTCCCTAAAATAATAATAATAAAGCCATTTGAAGGATTATTAAAGAGTAATTTGTTCCCAACAATTAAAATTCTCAAATCATTTTAGTGCTGTCAAACGATTAATCGCATCCAAAATAAAAGTTTTTGTTTACATAATATACGTGTGTGTATTGTGTATATTTATTATGTGTATATATAAATACACACATACAGCATATATTTTGAATATTAAGTAAACAAACTTTTATTTTGCATGCGATTAATCATTTGATAGCACAAAATCATTTGTCATTTTGAAACACTTTTGACTTTTTTTTCCTTCTTTTTTTTTCTTTCTGTGAAACACAAAAGGAGATGTTTAGCAAAATGTCCAAGTTGCTCTTTTTCATATAGTGCAAGTGAAGGGGACTGGAGCTGTCTAGCTCAATAAACAAAAATAAAGGGATCTTAAAAGTAGTCCACACGACTCGTGCACTATATACTTTTTTTTTTCTTCACCTGGGATCACTGAAAATCTGCTCATCTGCTGTAGCACATAAATTTCATTCACAAGCACAAACACTGCTGTTCAAAAGTTTGGGATCAGTAAGATTTTAAATGTTTTTTAATGGAGTCTCTTGCTCTCAAAATGCTGTATTTATTTGATCAAAAATACAGAAAAAAACAGTAATATTGTGAAATAGTATTGCAATTTCTAATGTTGGTTTCCTATTTTAATATACTTTAAAATATCATTTATTTCTGTAATGCAGCACTGAATTATCGTCAGCCATTACTCCAGTCTTCAGTGTCACATGATCCTTCAGA